GATGGCCCGCAGAGTGGGGGGGAGGGGTGTTGAAGTACCAGCTTGCAGGGTGGCATGGAGGCAGCAGACAAAATGGCAGCTACCCTCTCATCCTTCCTCTCACCACTGAGGCCTCTGCCATTCGGTGCCAAGAGGTGGGGCTGCCAGAGCACATCCAGGTAATATCCGCAGAATTAGCTTTTTATGCCATAACCAACGCATGAAAATTGTTTAGTTTCTCCATGATTTAAGTAAACTTCTAATAATATAATATCAATTCTGCATAGTATATGCACTTGAGAATCTTTTAAAAGAGTGTTAGTAAATGCTTTTTTTTTTTTTCTTCCACTGGATCAACTGGTCAAATTTCTATTTAGCTGAAGAGTGCTGTTGCTTTCAAAATAACAATAATTTTTAGATGCATTTCAGTTGTTTAGACTTATTGGAATAATTTTTAGAATTATTTTCTTTCAAGTGTAGTATATGAGAGAACCTAGCTCACTCGCATCAGAACCCAATTAACAACCAATAGCTACAAACTATATAAATGGGGTACCTATCATTTTTAGGTTAAACTTGTGTAAGCTCCAGAGTGACATAGAAACCAGAGTCCAGTTTAAAACCCAATGGGTGCATCAACATTAGATGCTTTATTGTACATTAGACTAATTTAATGCACAGTAAAGCATCACTGTCTACATGTGTGCAGCAATTACTGCACAGTATGTTAGCTTAATGCACCATTTTCTAGTACAGTACCTATAGATACAGGTAGTAGAAAAATGGCACATTAACTAATGAACCATACTCCATGCGTAGACTGATTGGGAGCAAATTGCTCCCAGTCAGCCTGGGCAGAAGGAGGCCACAGGATTTTACCTGTGTTAAGTGATTCTGGGAGCATATTGTTCCCCCAACTTTTTCTAACGAGCATTAGACTTGTGCAAACTTATGATTTTGTATTGATTAGTGCCAGTGCACTGGAAAGACAATAATAGTATTAAGTAGCATAATATGGTTGATACCACTGGGAAGCCAGTATGTAAATAAGTATGACTTGAGTCTTTCAGTTACAGAGGCTACTATGAGCCAACCCAGATGGATGCGTCCAGATGAGCGCGCAAGTGCCTCTTGCTCAGTCTCAAATCCCTTTGAGATAGGGCAAAAGGCAGGTGCAGGAATAAAAAAAATTTCCCCGTGCTGCAAACTTGCAGCACAGGGAGAAAATTTAGACCTCTGGATATCCAGGGGCAGAAAAAAACACTTCGCAGAACAGTGGAGCAAGGCATAGTCCCAGACCGTTCCTGGAGCCAGCACGGGAGTCGGTCCTCCAGAAGAGATGCTCTGGTTTTGGGCAGAGCATCTCTTTGGTGCTCCTGCGGCCCCCGGCGCTATCCAACTTAATTTAGGAAATGGGGGAGGAGGGGGTTATGGGTGTGAGGGGTGGCAGAGGGATGTGGGGGAAGTTTGGAAGTGGCTCTCCTCTAGGATGCTCCATGTGCCCCAGCATCACAGCGTTCACAAGCTGTACCTGGTACCTCGTGGTATGTACAGAAAAACATTTAAAGCTGTGTCTGTGGTCGAATTGCTGATTCTCTGAATCGGTATCGAATCTTCAGGTTCGGATTTGGCCGAATCGAATTGGGGAGAGTGATCCGAATTGACTAATTGAATCACTGTCCCCGATTTGGGCCGCATCTAAATTGAATATGGCCTGTTTTGTACACCCCTAGTATGCAGTCCTAAGTGGGGAAGATGAGAAAAAAATTGTGAGGTAATTCTACTGAAAAAAAATGATAGCAGGCAACAAAGGATATGTGAATTTATAATCTGCAAAATAATCCTGTGTGGCAATGATTCTCAACCAGGGTGTTGAGGTTTGCAAACATAATTCACAAGATAAACTCAAAGATTCTGCCCTGTTAGGGTCTTTCTGAGTTCTCTGGAACAGAAGAATCAGTCTGTTATTTTTATGTAGTCAGTTAAGAAGTAAAAACGAAGAGGTAGCATTTTCCAAGAGATGCCTCGAGACTATTGAGGGGTGCCTTGGTTCTAGAAAGCTTGAAAACCACTGGATTATGGGCCAGAAGTGCAAAGGTAACACATGATGGACAGGCCAATTACAGACCATCTTTCAGGTCCTAGTGCTATAGTTTGTGGTGGTAGATTGAGGAGGATATCGTGTTACCTCCAGAAGTGTTAGTTCAGGTCCCTAGTTCAGGGGGAAAACATAGGGAAAGGAAATTCACATTAAACTACTTAAGCTGAGACAACACATTGACACAGACTTGAACTCAGTGTGACTGTATAATTCACAGCAGTCTTTTAGGCTGTTTGCCAACTATTCTGGCTTCTCCGGAAAAAAAATGAAAAGGCAGCAAACAGGGGTGTCTCTTTTCTTGGAAGTTCGCTGTGAATTTGCAGTGTGGTAATCTTGTCCATGACCAGGCAGCACAAGTAGTACTGTTCTCATATGAACACCCCAACATATGTGCAGGAGTGCCAGGTGTGCCTGCAAATATTTGTTGCAATGATCAGTTTCTGAAAGTACCAGTGCTTATTGCAGAATAAGTTAATAAAGGGCTTGTGGTATAGCAGGGGGAGGATAAACAGGAAACAGTTCCACTTCATACATTGCAGTCTTATCCAGAACAACAGCCTTTGTAATCTAGAGTGGCCTGTCAGAGGTGTAAAAGAATGAGTTTCAGGGCCAGAGGCAGGGGGAGGGAGGATGTGGTTATTGTGACCATCAGAGAGCAGAAAAAGGTCATGCAGTGCCTAATGACACTTAAAACATGCACACTTAGCTGAGTCCAGGAGTGGCACTTTGGTATAAGTTGAAGTGGCTTTTCCATCAGAAAACCCATTTGGGTCTTTACAGCTCAGCCTGTTTAATATCTACCTGCTGGTAACTTTCTTCCCCTGGTCAATTAGCAAGAGGGATATTGTTGGAACTCCAGAAGCTGACACATACTACTTGTTTAAGGACTTTTAAAAAACCAAATGAAATGCTATCTAAAACATTGGTTTAAGTTTTAAATGCTGACCACTTCCAAACAAGCTAAATAAAACTTGCCCCGACTGTATTTCCGTTGAGGCCAGTGGAGTCACATCAAGGATTATTTTGGTCAATTCTTTGTTTGGGCTGATGCCCCAGGCTTTGTGATTAGTGTCCATTTAAAAAAAATAATCTGGGGTGTTGACTTTTCATTGCAGAAGGCTATAGGTGAAATCCTGGCTTTTTGATCTTTACGTTTAGAGATCGTGATATTTGTTTTTTAAACTTGGACTTGATACTACATTTCTGATTCTATTGCCTTGTTATCAGAGCTGTTAAAATCTATTTTTACCCTCAGTAATAGCAAATACACACCAAATTTCTAGTTACAAAAGGTGCACTAGATTTCCGTATGATTTTTTGAGAGAGTTTTTGATGCACATGTACTCAGTTATCAACTTCGGACTGTCATCTTTATGAAATCAAAAATTATTAAAAAAAGACAAAAATAAGTAAACTTGCTTGTCCTCTCTGAGAAATGGGTCCAGACCAAGGATTTTTTTAAGTTGCAGCTTTTTTGTTTTGTTTTGTTTTTAATATGGGAATTTTCTCTCCATCCTCTGAAAGAGAGAAACTGTGCCCTGAAAAATGCCATTTTGAGGAGAAAAGCAGAGTTGAGTAAAGGAATAACGTTTAGAGTTCAAGTAGAGAGAATGTTGTCATTTTAAAGGTGTATGTTATAGACTTTGGAAACCTGATTAGAAGGGAAACTGTTTTGCAGCCTTATCCTACAGTATGTGCTACTGCTACCAAGCAATAATATAAAACAGGGTAGAGTCTCTTGTTTTAAATGCAGCAGTCCAGAAGCAAACACCGGGATGCAAAGTACATAAGGAACAAAGACTGAAGGATCAAGAATCTGAACTAGGTTCCTCTTCAAAAATAATCTCTGTTAAGTGTTTACTAGTGGCCTATTTGACTTGTGTGGTTTGTCTTCAGTTTGCTATTAGCAAATGAGAGTTGTAGTTAGTTGCATTAGTCTGAGGTGAGAAAGAAGGCAGGGTAGAGATGCACCTTAGACTATCTAAATCTGCATACGTTTTTCTTAGCCTGAGCATACTTCATTAGATGCTGATCAGCATCTCTGCATCTGATGAAGTGAGCTCAGTCTCAGGAAAGCTTATGCATCTCGGATTTACTGCATTTACTTTATTCCAAGATGAGGCTTCACCCCACCTCCTCCCACGTGTTAAGTGTGGGTGAGGGGGAGCAAAAAGTCCCTCATCTTGAAATTTAATGCAGTGTGGTGGGGGATAACCAGCTGGTATAGCCCTGGCTGCAACCCAGGCTCAGGGCCCAGAGCTGCAGCTACAGCTGCTGCCTTCCTCCTGTCTTCCTCCCCATAGCCTTCTCTGTACCCCTTCTTCATCTCTCCCCAACCCCATGGCACAAGCTCCTTCTGCTGCTGCGACAGGGTTGGCCTGGGGCCAGAACAAACATGCTCCATGCCCCAGGCTGCAGTGGGCTTGGAGCTTGCCAGAGCATGGGGGGTGTGGGAGGCACCAGTGA